ATATTTAATATTGACTCAATTGAATTTTTCTTAATATCTTGTGAACTAATACTTCAGGTATTTGATATTTAATATTGACTCAATTGAATTTTTATATTCAATTGATTGTGAATTTTTGTAAAATTGATGCAAATTTTACAAAATGTACCGTAAAATCTGTATTAGAAGCCGCATCCCTAATAGAAGTCGCATCCATTCTATTTGAATAATTGAGAACCAAAAATTCATCATTTCTCATATGTGTAGATGCTCTAATAGAAGCCGCATCCCCTCTGTTGCATTGTACCATTTTAAATAGAAGCCGCGACTTCTAATACAGATTTTACAGTAATAGAGATGTCCTAGCTGTTAACTTTGAGTAACATACTTTTGATTTTCAACTTAATCTTCCTACCCGATTTTATACATATACATTCAAACTTTATAATTCATAGCCAACTATAATCATGTCTGACAAGTGGGGGCTGTGTCATCTTAAGATGTCTTGTTTATTATAAAATTATGTGGGTTTGGTTTGTAAACCTGACAAAAGACTGACACTCAAAGTGGTAAAATGTGTCATATTGATTAAAAAACTATAAAATCACAAACTTTTGTGAAGCTGTAACTTCCGCATGATAACAAAGTCATATGTAGTGCAGTACTAGATAAAGGTCTTACAATTTTCTATGGTTAAAATAAGTTGTATTTAAATGATTCTGTACACAATGTGCTTATAATAGAGATAATTTTTCCAATGAAGAATAAAAAATGTGCTTTATTATTGAGTTCAGTAAGATTTTTTAAAAAATGTTTATTGAAAAAAATTAGGTCAGAATGACCTTTAACAAGATTGCTCAAACTTAATTCATCTTGTTTTTTTACAGATGGCTATTCCCCTTTATGACAATTTGATGGAGCATGGCAAGAATTACGGTGTTCTTAATATTGGCTACATCGCGTATCAGTATCTGAGAATTGAGAAATTCTTTACATTCCAGATCCAAGATTTTAAGTCTATACATACTCCATTTGAAGCTGGGAGAGCATTTCAAGTGAAATTGGAAAAGGTAAATGTCTACAAACCTGGAAAACTATTTCTATTTTCTCTAAATAAAGTTTGTTAAAATATAGTTCTCACTCCCGTTGGGATTGGCCAGTTCAGGTAACTGTCTTTCTTGCTGTGATGTGATTGGCCAGTTCAGGTAACTGTCTTTCCTGCTGTGACTGTTATTGGTCAATGCAGATAATCATTGTTTTTAAAGTGACTATGATTGGCCAGTTCAGGTAACTGTCTTTCTTGCTGTTATGTGATTGGTCAATGCAGATAATCATTGTTCTTAAAGTGACTATGATTGGCCAATTCATGTTGTTCTTCTCATGGATTTGATTGGACATTGGAGGAAACTAGTGTTGTTTTCATGACTGTGATTGGTCACTTACGGTATACATTGTTTTTCTACATTACTGTGATTGGCTGAGATCAATATCATATTGGTTGAATAGTATGAAGTTACAAATGTGTTGTTTTTATATAAAAAATTATTCATTATTCATTTTGTTAGAAAATAATTGATAGTGCTATATGGTTTCTATAGTTTTCAATACCAAGAATATCAAAAATGCATAAATGGAGACAGTAAATTTTTCATTTTCTCTCCTTGCTTTTACCTGTTGACAATTACTGTAGAATACTTCATTTTCGCTTTGAATTTATTTTCGCTGAAGGGATGATTCTGTGAAAATAAAATCCAGCGAATATACTATTTAGTCCCCGTTCGAACGCAGTGCATGTGTGCGTGCGTCTGTGCGTGCGTCCGGACCTGTATCTTAGAAATGCCTGAACCAATCACAATCAAACTTCACACATACATCATACATGATATTATACATATGCACGTCAATTTGTTACCTGATCTGATTCAAGATGGCCAAATGGCGGCCATTTTTGTGCTAAAAAATCCTAAAAATCAAGCATTTCTCGGCTGTTTACAGATGGATTTTGTTCAAACTTGGTATATACATTAGACATTATAGGACCTTGTTGCACATCATTTTGTTTTATGATCTGATTCAAGATGGCCGAATGGCGACCATTTTGGTGCTAAAAAATCATCAAGATCAAGCATTTCTCGGCTGTTTACAGATGGATTTTGTTCAAACTTGGTATATACATTAGACATTATGGGACCTTGATGCAAATAATTTTGTTTTTTAGATAAGATTAAAAATGGCCGACTGGCAGCCATTTTGTATTAATGAATGTGGTTCTCCTGACATATCTCTAACTTGCTTTCACTAATTATGTTCAAATTTTAAATATTCATTATACATCATGTCATGTCATAGATAGACAGATATATTGGTTTGACGATTCTATTCAAAATGGCCAAATGGTGGCCATTTTTGTGCTAAAAAACATCAAATATCAAGCATTTCTGGCATTTATGGATGGATTTCGTTCAAACTTGGTACATATATTAGACATTACAGGTTCCTGATGCACATCATTTATTTTTCAGATCGGATTCAAAATAGCTGTCTGGCGGCCATTTTGTTTTAATGAATGAGCTTCTAGACCCATATCTTCGACTTGTTTTGACTGATTATATTCAAATTTTGAATATTCATTATACATCATGTCATAGATAAACAGATATATTGGTTTGACGATCCTATTCAAAATGGCCAAATGGTGGTCATTTTTGTGCTAAAAAATCATCAAATATTAAGCATTTCTGGCATTTATGGATGGATTGCATTCAAACTTGGTACATACATTAGACATTACGGGTTCCTGATGCACGTTATTTTATTTTTCAGATTGGATTCAAAATGGCTGACTGGTGGCCATTTTGTTTTAATGATTGGGCTTTTAGAGCCATATCTCTTAAATGCTTTGACTGATTATATTCAAATTTTATATATTCGTTATACATCATGTTATATATATATACATGTATTCAAAATGGCTGATTTGAAT